GGGTTTCACCATGTTGACCAGGATGGTCTCAATCTCTTGACCTTGTGATCCACCCACCTCGGCCTCCCAAAGTGCTGGGATTACAGGCTTGAGCCACTGCACCTGGCAAATTGTTTTTCAGTTAAGATAGAAAACAAAAAAAATTATGAGAAAGTCTGAAAGACTATGAATAGAATTAAACAAGATTCTTTTTAATCATCTTACCTTTTAGCTTTAGGGCTAGTGAACCATCAGTACTGTGTAACATGGGTGATCAAAAGGAGCTTAGAGTGTAAGGTACACTAAGTTGCTTTCTGCAGTTACCACTTTAGAGGATGAGAATGATATTTAGCAAAACACCTCAAAGTCAAAAAGGTACTGTATTACAGTGGTTAAGAAGAGGGAGCTTGAGTCAAACTATGTGGGTGTGGCATCTGGCTGTGTCATCTGGCTCAGGTAAGTTTCTTCATTTCACTTTGCCTCAGTTTCTGCACCAATAGAACTGAGAAGTTGAAAATAGCATTTCCATCATAGGTTTACGTGAATATTAAACGCGTTAATATATGTGAGGTTCTTTGAATAGTTTTGGCACATAGCAAAATTAATGTTACATTTTATTATTAAACTTATTATTATGAACATGCCATATTCTCAAATGGTGCTTTATTGCCCTGTATCAGGAAACCAACCTCAAATCATAAACTACCAGGTCACCACACAATGTATCATGAAATTATTGATGTTCTGCATTTGAGATAAATAACTTTAAAAATGACTAAATATTTGTTTCTGTCACATTCTACTAATCACAAAACAACCCACATACTGTATGTTACCATTTATGTGAAATGTACAGAATAGGCAAATGTATGAAGACAGAGAGGAGGCGAGTGGTTACTTAGGTGTGAGAGAGTAGGGAGAGGGGAATGGCTGCTAATGATATGTGTTTCTTCATGGAGTGATAAGAATATTTTAAAGTTGTTTGTAGTGATCACTGCACAACTTCATAAACATATTAGAACCATTAAATGTTATATGGCTAAACTTAATGGTATGTAAATTATAAATCAATAAAGCTTCTTAAATGAAAGAAATGACCAGCCTGGGTAACACAGCAAAACTCCCATCTCTATAAAAATTTTAGACCGGGCGCTGTTGCTCATGCCCGCAATCCTGTACTGCAGGAGGCTGAGGCAGGTGGATCAATGGAGGCCAGGAGTTCAAGGCCAGCCTGGCCAACATGATGAAACTCCATCTCTATTAAAAATAGAAAAATAAACTGGGCGTGGTGGCACAGGCTTGTAATCCCAGCTACTTGGGAGGCTGAGACACAAGAATTGCTGGAACCAGAGAGGTAGAGGTTTGCAGTGAGCTGAGATTGTGCCACTGCATTCCAGTTAGGGCGATGGAGCAAGACTCCTTCTAAAAATATATATGTATAAAAACATTAGCCAGGCATGGTGGCTTGCGCCTGTAGTCCCAGCTACTCGGGAGCCTGAGGCATGAGAATCCCTGGAACTGTGGAGGTAGAGGTTCTCACCACTGCCCTCCAGCCAGGACAACAGAGTAAGACTCCATCTAAAAAATATATATTAAAACATTAGCCAGGCATGGTGGCTTGCACCTGTAGTTCCAGCTACTCTGGAGGCCGAAGCAGGAGGATTTCAAGAGGCTGAGCCCAGGAGTTGGAGGTTGCACTGAGCCATGATCATGTCACTGCACTCCAGCCTGGGTGAAGAGTCAGACCTTATCCCTCCCCTCCCCCCCCTAAAAAGAAAAGAAAAAAAAAATCAAGAATTCTGGAAAGATGGTGATAGTAGTGGCATAACAGCTTTTAGATTTTTCCAAGTCTTCAGGTAAAACAGTCAGAGAACCTAATTAGCGAAGTCAGCAAGTCTCGAAAATTATATGCAACAAAATTAAATGAAAATACATCCCTACAGAATCCAAAATACAAACTAATAAGACAAACCGCAGACAGTGACAAGGCTTGTGTATTATTCATTTCTATAAGGGGAAAGGCAGGAAAATCACGGAAGAGCCAACAGATACTGACTGGAAAACGTAGCCCAGTTTGAGAATGGCAACTAACAGTGGACAGGTTTTCTGCACTTGAAGAATGAATGGGTCCAGGGTATCTCTGATGAGGTCTGTGGAGCTGGAACAATTCGAACTTTCAAAATTGATCCAACAGTATTCCTTTCTGTGACAACAGCTCACATTCAAAAACCAAATAGTTAAAACACTAGCCAATAAAAACACTCCCAGGAGTGGAATCAAATTGAATAGTGTAGGGATAGTTGAAGGCAAGAAAAGATCCGCTTTAAAGTCTGGTAGAGAACTTTAGCCAGGAAATGTCAAAAAGCAATCATAGTGTTTTTTATAGATTTACATGGATTGTATAGACTTATGTACCCTTTTTAGATTTTGACCCTAGTCATATGGCTTTAATCATATCTTTTTAGAGTCTCAGGTTCCTTATCCATAAAACAACGGGATGATAATAGGTAATCTCTGCGATTTCTCTACAATTGTCTGATATAACTCTGGAATCTGCATATGTTTTTAAATTTCAGAATCATTGAGAGTAAATTTTAAATTCATTGTGCGTGGAAATGAGGAA